CTGGCAGACTGAGGTTCCTGAGCGAAACCAAGGACTTCTGGCTGCTGTGGTTTCCTTTCGGCGGCATTACTGGGCCTCAGTTAACTCATTCAGAAGATGGCCTGGAGGCTGTGTAACAGTCCCCAAACAGGTAGCACAGGTTTGCAACTGGGCAGTGAGGAGATTAAGAGAAGGTTAAAAGGGGCTGGGAAGGGGTGACCCTAAGATACCCTTATGTGGTGAAGGAACGTTTGGTAGGAACACTGCGTGGTGATCTGCGAGGAGGAAACGCTCCTGTGCATTTATGGACTTGGGCAGCGGTTCCAGGGACGGCCTTGTGACCTTGAGCTTCCTTAAGCCATAAAGGACAAGAATGCTTCAAGTAAAAGATGAGTTCAGAAAGGAACCCGCCATTTACATGTAGAATCTAGAAAAGTTACTTCTCATCTCTAGTCCTCCAGCCGCTGGAAGATCTTTGGATTAAGGCTTGGCCTGAGGTGCCCAGACCCAGTCCAGGCCGTGCAAGAGGCACGCAGCTCCGAGCAGAGAGTCAGGGATCTGCCCCTGGGCTACAAGGTTCTTTGTCTGAGGGCCCTGGAAGGAGAAAGGGCATCCTCACAGTGATTACGGGGTGCCTAGGACCCTCACGGCATGGCCCCACACAGCCCGAAGGCACCATCACCAGTGTAGAGAGGAGCTGGCCCTAGTGACGGGAACCAGCCATGCAGAAGAGCCGCAGTGTCTGAGCGGCTGATGGGCAAGTGCATTGTGAGCGTGGAGTGCAGGGGACCGAGGCTTTACAATGGAAAGGACCTCGAGGCTCCCAGCTTCCTTCAGGCAAGAAGAGGTAGAGTTTCTCCACCGAATAAGGGGACAGGCCTTCCGGTGCCCGCTTCTGGAGCGGCAAGGATGACCCCCAGTGGGGGCATCGGGCGAGCACAGGGGACTGCGGGTCACCAGGGGCACACTTTGCCAGGGTAGAGGCACGGGCACTTCCGCCCGCAGGACTTGGGTGCTGGGAACAGTGGCTGTGATGGCAGTGACCCCAACCCTTCCCACTGCATGCTGGGTGAGTGCACGGGGCAGGGTTGGCTTCTTTAGTTCCTACGTCTCTGGGTCAGGAAGAGCCATGTCCAGCACGAATGCAGAGCACAGGACTAGACCCCGACCCCGATGACTGGCTGGACAGACCGGGACCAATGCACTGCGATGGGGAGGACAACGCGTTGTCGTTGAGAAATGCTCTCTCCCTCACGCCCATGGGCGCGTGCCCTTCCTGACATCAGGGCGATGGGTCTGGCCCTATGACTTGGTTTGGCCAAAGGAAGGAGGTGAAACCGACAGTGTGCTGGTCTTCAAGGACCCACACTTTCTTGCTTCTGCCGTCGCCACAGGAAAGCAGTGCTCAAGCCGGTGTCCCGGTCCTGGGGAGGACGAGAGCCACGGGGACAGACCCAGGCAGCCCAGCCAGGCCGGCGGGAGCAGCTGCCCTGGCTGCCCGCAGAGCTGCCCGCCGGCCCAGCCAGGACCGGCGCTTCGGCTGACCAGGCTCAGGAGCTGACACACGCGTCTTGCTCCCGAGGTGGAAGGCTTCGTGGACATCGCCAGGCAGCACGATGGCGGCCGTCGTTCCCTGATGGGTGGAGGGTGCGGTCACTGAACGGCCACCTCGGGCTTCTTAAAGCGGCGGCTCACCCGCCGCAGGCAGCACCGAGCAGCTAAGGTCCTCAGCAGAGCACAGCTGCTTCCAGAAACTCACAGGAAGCAGAGGTGCCGAGCCTGAAGCTGGGCTGTGAAGAGGGCGGAGGAGAGGGCGGCCGGGTGCGCGATCCCCCTCCCGAGTGCAGGCAGCCGGGGAGCCCCGAGGAGGAGCGAGGCCAGGTCCACTCTGGCTGCGTCTTTCCACCAGGAAACGGCTGCCGGGGAAGTGGGGCTCCCCTGACACGGTGGACTGGGGACGCTCTGCAGAAAGGAAACGGGCTAGGTCCCACTTTCCTTGGTGTTTCCTACACTCCTGTACCTGCGAACTTCTTCAGCCCTCCCCTCCCCCCCCAACACACACACACACACACAGCACGGCTCCGAGTTTAAACACCCTCCACAGGCTCACGGCTTCTTCCCAGTGTGTCACCCAGCGCATTTCCTCAGGGAGAAGAGGGGCACCCAGGAGAGCCCTCCCCCCAGCCCCGCAGCCCTCTTCCCTGGCCTCATCCCAGTCAGAGGTCACCCCAGGCTCACGCCCTAGTCACTGGCCACACTGGGTGGCTGTCTCTGCCAGTGGTTGGCTGATCTCTTACTAGACCTGTGCCTCCCTTTGTGAAAGAAAAGAGCCACATGCTAGCCTGACAAGCTCAGGGAAGGCCTGCGTGGCAGTCTTGCAAACCCAGAGACCTAAAATAACCACAAAGGATGGTTTGAAAATTAAATATCTAACAGGTTATAGTGGGTAGTCATGTCCCAGATATTTCACCTGACAAAGATCAACTTAGATCTTCTTTACTGAGCCCATCTGCCTTCCAGCATCTGACATAACATATCTGTGAGATGTCTGGGTAACTTGTAACTTCCTTTTTACCCCGACCCCTCAGGGCACAACAAATGGCCTCAAGACATTCCCTCATTGTTATTGTTATCAAGTTAATTGTCAGCTGTTAATTACATTAGAGTATCCTGTATCCATTTCGAGAAGCTCATGTCCATCATTTCACCTTTTACCCTATCCCAGAGGCTTCCCCGCTTTGCTCTGTCCCACCTCCCTAATCTGTCACCAATGAATTTCATGTATCTCACCTACGTCCCTTTCCTTTGATTGCAATGTATAAATATAGAAAGGTAACCCGCCATTCTCCCGAGCATTATCTCAATCTGTTGAGGTTCTGCTTCCCGGCATATGTGGACAGTTGGGCTCAAATAAACTCACAAAGATTCTTTACAGGTTTCAATGTTTTTTTTTTTTTTTTTTTTTTTTTTATCACCTTGTACCTGCCAGGGTCAGCTCCCAGGATGGAGCCCTGCTCAGGGCTGCTCCCCACGGGCCCCTTTGCCCACAGCTGCTGCTGGTATCCTAGGCTCCAGCTTCCAGCCCTCTTTCTGCACCAGAGCACAGAGGGCCTCCCATCCCCCCGCCCCACCCAGCTCCACGCCCTCTGCCTGCCCCTCAGGGAGGAGGTGCTGGGTGAGGAGCGTGGGGCTGCCCCTGGGGCTGGGGTGAATGGCTCTCCGAAAGTCAGTGCAGACATTCAGAGCAGCCAGATACTGACTGTAACATGCTAACCCACCCCCACCCCAGAGAGGCACACACACACAGCCAGCTAATGCACAAGCATTAAATATTTCTGGGCAAATGTGAAATAGTCTATTCTGACACTGTTGAGAAAAAATACAGCCTAATTTCTGTCCACACGCACCAAATTTACTGCCCAGGGCCTCATTAACTGTGTCAAGGAGGAAGCAGATAGACAAAATAAATTATGAAAAAATTACTTTTTTAATGTACAAAAAGACTTATTTACAAGTTGAGCATGTCATCTCAATTCATAGCAGGTAGAAAAAGCTAAAAATGCTGTGGAGATATAAACTGGGCGGGTGCCTTGCCTACAGTCTGTTCAGGATGATGTCTTCTGTACAGACTCCATACAGGGCGGGAGCTGGGACAGCCCCGCAGGGAGTGAGTGACCCCCAGAGCCGGCCCCGGGCCCTCCCGGGCTGGGATTTGGACTTGGCCTTTCCTCGGAGCCAGCAAAGCCCTGGTGTTCTGGGACCAGAGGGCCAGGTAAGGTATGGCCCTCTCCTGCCTGAAGCCAGGTCACAGTCAGTCTCAAGCTCCTTGTGCTGCAGTTGGTTTGGGCAAGGATGCCACGAACTGAACATGGGGAAGGTGGGGTGTGCTGGGGAGGGTGCACCACTCATCCCACAGCATGTCAGCACGTCTGCTGACGCCAGCTCCTAATCCCTCCGAACGGAGACCAGTGATGTCCCTGAGCCCCAGCAACCGGTCCTTCCCTCCTGCCCCACCAGATGCCATGCACATCATCGGCCTCTGGAACGAATGAGGGCAGAGGAAGGGGGTCCAGAGGTGCCGGACTTGGCAGGGACCTCGGGCTGCTGGCGAGTGGGCAGCATGGCCGGAGAGGCTGCATCAGGGGCTGGCGGAGAGTGAGCGGGCAGTGCCCTGGGGAAACAGGTGGGTAAACATGTGACTCCTCCTACCCCCGGCGCCCGAGGCTGGGCCCATGCACGCTCACTTTCTAAAGGTCCGTCCACGCGTGGGCCCTCGGTCACCCCTGCTCGCAGCAGCTCCGGCGGCCCCAAGGTATTTGGAAGTGCTCTTTTCAGGGAGGGCCACGTTTTACATGCGTGAACACTGTGAACACGCCTGGAGGGGCCTGCCGCTTCTGAGCACCCCCGAGCATCACGGTGTGTTCTTTCCCTTTTCTGGCAACACCCCCGTCCTTTATCCATTCCACACACGTGGCTGTCCGCCAGGCGACACCTGGCTCTGCCGGGCAGAGGTGCTGGCACTACCACCGTGAACCAGGATGTGCCCCGAGTCGCCTGTAAACTCCCTTTCCTCCATGACCAGGGACGTCGGAGGCCTCCTGACCAGCTTGGGGAAGGGCTACAGGGGCCAGCCACTCCTTCGTGCAGGATCGGAATAGAAGCTCATCTTCCTGGCTTACAACATCCGGTACGGCTTTCCGATTGCAACCCAAACGTAGTGCCTCTGCCTTGTCCTCATGTCCTTGGGAAGCCCGGGCCAGGGACCCCTCTGACAGGGGCGAAGAAGCCGAGCAGGAGCGCTGTGTAAACGAGCCTTCCACTGAGGTTTCCCAGTGTTCCAAAGGAACCCCAGAGAAGACCAGCCAGGATGCACGTGAACTCGCCTTAAAGCGCTGTGGCCTGACCAGCCACTGCCCCCTCCCCGCCACAGGCCTAGGAATACTCATTCGGGAGAGACAAAATGGACGACACCCACTCTGGAAACCATGCTCCTCGGCGTCCGCTCCGCACCGGGGCCGGCCTTAGGTCATCATGTTGAGGAACTTGCTTTCCTCGGCCAGGCTGGTGAGCATGGAGCTCATGTCCCCGACGGCCATGTTGCTGATGCCCACGGGGACGGAGGGCAGGGTCAGGGAGCTCCGGGGGGTGGTGAGGCGGGAGGAGCTCTGCGAGAGGCTGTGGAGGAGGCTGGGGCTCAGGGCGCCCGAGAGCAAGCTCGAGTGATCGCCGTCATCCATGATGGCGTCGAAATCGATCTGGGAGGCCTCCAGCAGCTGGGAGTCCACGGTGCTGGACACCTGGTTGACCCCTGGCGAGGACAAGGGCTGGGGCTGGAGACCCTCCGGGCAGGCCTGCGGCTGCGGCAGCTGGGGCCTCATGACCTGGCAGCCTCCGTGGTTCTCCAGGCCTCCGTTCTGTTCATACATGTGGATTTGGCCATAATAGTAGAGCATGTTGTGGTCCTGGGCTCCACCCGTGTCCTGTGGGGGCAGCTGAGGAGGCAAGGATGACATAGTGTCCATCGCTCCCTTGGGCACCGACTCTGCCATCTCCTGGTTGGCTGACACAGCAGCCATGGCATGGCCGGCGGCCCGGGCGTAGGCCAGCTGCTGCCCTGCACGTACCCCCCGGTGGCGGCCAGCAGGGCCAGGCTCAGGAGGTGGCCGGGGTTGCACTGGGCCGAAGCCGGGCCCAGCCAGCCCCCCTGCGGCCTGCTGCAGCTCCAGGAAGCCGGGCTGGTGGGAAGGCAGAAGGCTGGGACCCTGGTGGTAGCCCTCCTGGCTCATGGGGGCTGCCAGGTGATGGCTCTGTGGGTAGCTCTGGGCTGCATGAAGTGGTGCCATCCCGGCCAGGGTGGCATTAGGGGCCCCGAGTTCCCTGCGTCTACTACCCATCATGGAGGGGTCAGGAACAACTTCCATCTGCTGGGGGAGCCCCAGGTGACCGGGCTTGGCTACCAGGTTGCTGCAGGATGTGGGGAATGGATTCAGGGCTCCGCCCACGGTGCTGGAGCTCAGCTGGGGGTGGCCTTGGTCGTAGCTGGCATGGGGGCTCGCGGTGGTGGTCATGCTGGCACACTGGCCCCCGGCCCCTGCCTGCCGAAGCCGCTGCATGTGATTTGCCCTGGGCCCGGAGGGGGCTCCGCCGCAGGCCTGAAGGAGTGGCTGTGCGCTGCCCAGACCCCGCGGGCTCGGTGGCAGGCCCTGTGCGCCGTAGCCCGGGTACTGGCCGAAGGCCGGCTTCTGCTGTGCCACCGCCAGGTTGCCCTGCAGAACGGGTGGAGGCTTCCCCGGGCTGCTCAGGGCATCCATGGTGCCAGAGCTCACCTCATTCCACTGCACGGGCATGCTGCTTTTGCTCGGGCCGGAGGGGGCACCGTAGCCCTGCTGGCAGCCTCCCAGCCCAGGGGCGGAGGGGCCCATGTTGGAGTCCGCAGCCACCATCCTGCGCTGGCCGTGCAGCTCCGGGCCGGGCAGTTTGGGGAGTTCGGGGAAGCAGGAGCTCTCGGGGGGGTATGCCTGCGGGGTGCTGTCACCCAGGGTGCCCGCGTGGGCCTTGATGTACTGCACCACGTCGTCGGGCAGCACCAGGTCATCCTCGGGCAGCAGGAGGGAGTCCTCAGGCCCTGCCCCGTCCGTCCCCACCGCCATGGCCTCCATCACCACGTTCTCGCTGATGCTGGGTGGCCGGGGGGAGTAGGTGCCGTGGGCGCGGCCGCCCTCGGCGCCGGCGGGACCCTGCAGGTGGAGGCCGCGCCTGTCGGCGGCGCAGGGCGGCAGCGGGCCCGGGTTCACGTTGTGGGCGCTGAGGAAGCGCTGCACGCGGGGCGGAGCGAGGGCATCCGGCCGCCGCACCGGGTCGCTGGCCCGCCGCGCCCCGCCGCCGCACGCCTCGTGGGGGAAGGCGGGGGCAGGCCCCGCGTGGCCGTAGGCCGGCCCGCCGCTGCCTCGCCGCGGCCCCAGCACGCGCTCCGACGCGTCCAGCAGAGCCAGCCGGGCCCGCAGGCCCCCGCGCTCCAGGCCGGGCAGCGGCGTGGGGGGCGGGCCGCCCGTGGCCGCCGCGTACCGGGCCCGCAGGCTGTACTGCTGCGCGGGCGTCAGGCTGAGCGGCCCGGCGCCCGCCCCGCCCTGGCTGGCCTCGCTGGAGCGCCGGGAGGCGTCCGTGGAGATGGGGTCGTAGGAGTCCGCGGAGCTGGCCTGGGGCGGGCGGCCGGCGCCCAGGCCCGAGGCCTCGCTGGAGCGGCGGCTGGAGAAGTAGGGGGAGATGCCGGAGGAGCGGCGGCTCACGGTGTAGGCCGAGCTGACGGTGCTGGCCGAGCTGCCGCGGCGCTCCTGCAGGTGGCTCAGCACCGTCGCCTCGCCAGCGGACAGCTCCGACGGCCGCGGGTTGGGCAGCAGCCCCAGTGGCCTGCCGCCCCCGCCGCAGCCGAAGTTTTCCAGGATGGAGCCTGTGGGGAAGGAGACAGGTCGGCACGGGGTCCGCAAGGGGCGGGGAGTCCAGGCAGAGGTTGCAGCCCGGAGCCTAGGACAGGCACTAAGCCCGTGATTTCTGATGGAAGCCATAAGGAGCAGTAGGTGGGTGACCGTGGCCTCATTGTGGAGGGGGGCAGCAGAGTCAGGGCTGGATGCCACGTGGCTCTCCCAGCGCCTGGCCGGCCCTGAGCCCCATCCAGCTGGTGCTCTGCATTCCCAGCTGTGGACGGTGACCTCGCGTGGACTGAGCGATGGAGAAGATCCCAGGAGGCCTGGCCCTCACTCTCGGGTGGGGGCGGTGGAGGAGCTGCCAGTCAGCTCCTGGGACAGGCTTACTGAGCAGGGTGCCTGGGAGGGCCGAGACCCAGGCCCACGGGAGGAGGAGAGGCAGCGAGGTGGCAGGGAGAAGTGAGCGGGGAGCTCTGGGCCTCACACAGCCCTCACACTCTGGCAATGTCAGTCCCTGGGTGGAGGCATCTGGGAAGGGTGACCTTGGTAAGTCAGCTGTCAGTGACCAGGCGATCTCTTAGGAAGCGGAGAGGTGAAGCTGTCTGCTAGCAGTTCCCTCAGCAGCCGAGTCAACAAGTCCCCCCTTAGGGAAGAGCTGGTGGTGGCCCCCCTCCTCCCCCCAGTTCACATCCCCTAGCCCAGTTCTGGGTCCACTGGCCGTCAGTCCCCGAGGGAGCTGGAGGGTAAGTGCCTGTGGCTGGAGCCCTGCCTGGCACAGGGGCAGCACCCGAGAAGTGCTTGGTGAAACTGCCTTCCTTCTCAAAACTTGGCCAACACCTTCTGAGGCTGAACACAGGGCTCCTCCTACAGGAAGTCCTCCCTGTCAGTCCCTGGGACAGGCTTTCTCTCTCCTCACACAGCTCTGCCTCCGTGCTGCTGGGCCATTCTCTGGGTGACGGTGCACCTCATGGCCTGGCCTTCAACTGAACGCTCCTTCTGACCACAGGGAGGGAGACCAGCGCTCCGCTCAGGGCCTCTGCCACGGTGCCCACAGCAGAGGCCTGATAAGTGGCCGAATGAGTCATCAGGACGAGGAGGATGTGAGCGGGGTGTGCCTGTTTTTAGGGGTTGTCGGGTGCAACATGGTGTAGGTGAGAGCCTGGGCTTGGCAGCCACTCAGCCTGGGCTAAGTCTCAGCTCTGCCATTGGTTTAAGTGAGGCCCTTTCATCTCTCTGAGCCTCAGTTTCCTGGTCTGTGCAATGGGCTGGTAAGAGCCATCCTACTGCGGCCAGTGAGAGGGCACATAGCGCTTGATGGGCATGAACCTGGCGGGTGCTCTATCCCCCATTCCCTCCCCACAAACCCACACCCGGACCTCCACTCACCGCTTCCCGGGAGGGGAGGCAGCTTGGGGTTCCGGGGGTGTGGAGCTGGCCCGGCCCACGAGCAGGAATCTTTAAGCGACTTGAGCTTCTCCTTCTTGAGCTGCTCTAGCCGGTGCATGGCGGTCATGTGCTGGCGCAGCTGCAGGCCGCCGGCGGACGGGGCGGCCAGGGCCGAGGTGTCGGGCCCCGGGGGCGTGTCATCCAGCGCCGTCAGGTCTCCCAGGCTTCCGGGCCCTGTGCCCGGCATGTCCACACCGCTGTCATTGTTGGGGGCACTGCCCAAGGGAGAGGGCTCACTGCTGCAGGATGACTGGGCCCCTGGGCTGGCCTGACACAGCTGCGGAGGACATGGAGGTCAGACTCAGAGGTGTGAGAACTGCCCGGCCCCGCACCCACGGCCGCACCCACAATGCACCCTGCACACCCTGGGGCGGGAGGAAAACTGCCCTGAGAGGACCGTTTGAATAATCTCTTCTCTCGGTCTTGGCTCCCCAATGACAGGATGGACCTGAACGGCCTTCAGGACGAGCCGGTGGGTGGAAGGGACTCATAGGCGTGGAGAGGACACCAGTAACTGTCGGCCCGGCTCCTCTCCCCCCCCTCCCTGTGCTCAGCCCACCCTCACTCATGCCAGCTGGCCCACCCCTTTTGGGGCTGGTGAGTTGGTAACAGGTGGACACCTGGAAGCTGTGGCCACAGAAGCTGCCGCAGCTGCATGAGGTGGACATGAAAGGTTCTGAGCATCCACAACAACCGCGATGTGCACCATGAGGCAAGGGACAAGGGAAGCTGCTGACGCCCTCTCAGCAGCCCCGGGTGTGTGTTAGGCAGGGAAAGGGCAGGCGGGAGGGGAATGTCAAAGTGCCACCACACCGGCCCTGGCTCTGGGTCGGGGCAGAGGGGGGAGCTCGTGGCCCATGACAATGCAGAAGCCACGGACCCAGACCCGCGCCCAGGGAGTCTGAGCGTGAGGCGCTCCTCTGGGCTTGTTTCTAGGCTGACTGCTCCCAAATGCCACTCTTCTCTGGGAGCTGCAAAGCTCCATCCTGTCCGGGCAGCGCGTCCCTCACCTCACTCAGCACCTCCTGAGGTCAGTGCTGTCCGCTGCAGCCCTAACCCACACCTCTGCCCTGCCCGTCCCTCCTGCGGGAGAGGTCTGCGCTGCTTGCTCCTGGGCCTGGCAGCTTGCCTCCTGCTGCCAGCCTTGCCTGTCCCAATGGTCCTACCTGCCGCCAACCTATCCAAACCCACCTTCCCCTGGACGGGACCCCAGCCACCCTCACTCATGCCAGCCCGCCCCCCCTCCACTTCTCGCTCACCTCAGTAACGTCTATCCTTGGGGGAGGTACAGTCGGGGAAAAGAGGTGGAGACAAAGAACAGGTGGTTAGAACAAAAGGAGCGGAGGCCAGAGGGGTGAGGATGCAGACAGGACAGAGGGCAGGAGCCCGAGGCGGCTCTGGTGCTGGTGAGAAGGCAGACACCGGGGCCGCACTGCCCCTGCAAACTGGCCGCGTGGGGCAGGCGTCCCGTCGCCCACAGCCTGCCAGCACCACAGGACCTGCCACAGAGCTTCTGTGAGGCCCACGGTGGTGAAGGGAGGACAGTCGAGCAGGAGAGAGGAGGCACAACGTGGGGTGCTCAGAGAGGGGGCCGGGGAGGGCCCACAGCCGCAGGGGCCTTGGACCCCGGGCGGTGCTCTGGATGGGTCTGGCCTGCGGGGCGTGGCTCCTGGGGGACGGGGCCTCCACTGCCCCGCTCTGCTTACCCCGGAGCTCTCGGTCTTGATGGCCTTGACGTGCAGGCAGTCCTCCACGGACTGGCCGGTGCTGCTGGCCTCGGTGCTCTCCTCTGCATGCTGGCCGCCAGGCTCGGGGCCGGCCGCGGGGTCCCCGTTCTCCTTGAGCAGCAGGGCGCGAAGGTGCACGTCGTTGCGCTGCTTCTTGGTCACGTGGGCGTCGGGGCCGTGCACGGTCTTCACGTGCTTCCGCAGAGAGCTGGGGTCCGTGTAGCGCTTGGTGCAGCCCGGGATCTTGCAGATATAGGGTTTCTGGGAGAGAAACGGGCAGCGTGACGGATGGGCACTTGGAATGGGCACTCCCCTCCAGAAGCCATGCCACCTCTTTCGGCAGGGCCTGGCTGCCAGCCCGGGAGGCGTGCCACCTGTGAGCAGCCAGGCCACTGGGATGGGAGGGCCTGCCCTGCCCCTGTGCACACCATTTCCAGCAGGTGAGCCTGTGGCCCAGGGAGCCCGCCACCAGCTGGGGGCAGAGATCAGAGGCTGAAGGGAGGGGACAGGGCCTAGTGACCATTGCACCGCCCCGGCCAGGGCTTGGGGGCTTCTGACATCATCAGGGAGGGTGACCCTTTCCTGTGCCCGTGAGGCAGCACCAGACCCAGGCTCTCTGAGGGAGTCAGCTCAGAGAGGCAGAGGAGCTGGCCCAGGAATGGGATGAAAACCCAGGGTTTCTGAACCTCAGTTCTGAGCTCATATATATGCATGCTCTACACCCACATACATACATGCACATTTATATGCACACACATGTCTACATGCAGGCACACACATATTCATGCGTGAGTACACATGCTTACAAACACATCTACATGCACATCTACATATAAAGCATACCCACATGTGTACATGCTTACAAATTCACAACAACCGCATGTAATGCATACACATGTACAACCACACCTAATACATACCAATATTAACACACACATACACACAGGCACACAGTCACACACAGGCACACACCCCTCTTCCAGGCCAGCTCATCTGTAGAGACTGAGGGGTTCAGATACTCCTGGGAGGACTTCTAACTTCTTACAAGCATTGGAGCAAGTCCCTTTGGGTTCAAAATGTATCTAAGCCCTAGCTAGTTTGGCTCAGTGGATAGAGCATTGGCCCTTAGATTGAAGAGTCCCAAATTCAATTCCCGGTCAGGGCACATGCTCGGGTTGTGGGCTCCATCCCCAGTAGAGGTTGTGCAAGAAGCAACCAATCAATAATTCTCTGTTTCTATCTCTTTCCCTCTCCCTTCCTCTCTAAAATCAATAAAAGTATATATTTTTAAAATGTATCTAAGCCTTTAGAAATGTTCTTTCTGGAGTCTCCCTGAGTGACAGCACTGATCGGCAGGGCAGGGCCTGGGAGGTAGGTAGAGCGGACCCCATGGGCTCCCGCCCACTTCCCTCCCCAGGCTCTCGGGAGAGACCAAGGCTGCCCTATGCCCCTCCCAGGCCCAGCGGGACTGGCAGCTCTAGCGGGCAGACCTGTCCTCACCAGCTGCGCGGGCCTGTGTGCTGAGCTGACAGGTCAGTGGGGAGAGGGCCCTGACGAGTGCCGTGGGGCCTGGCGGCGGGCGTACCTCATTGGAGTGGGTGCGGTTCTGGTGCTTGGCGCGGTCCGAGGCGTTGGAGAAGGCCTTGTTGCAGCCCTCGTGCTCGCACACGTACGGCTTCTCCCCGGTGTGGGAGCGCAGGTGCGTCTTCAGGTTCTCCAGGCGCGAGTAGGCCTTCGAGCAGCCCTCGAACTGGGAAGAGGTGGGTTGGTCAGCGAGGGCGCCCCGGACCCAGCAGGGAGCCTGGTTGGGCCAGACACGCCCCTGCCCAGCCCTGTCTGCTCCGCCCGCAGTGCAGCCAGGAGCTGAACTTAGCAGCAACACTTCCCTTCCTGATTAGAACATGGACAACTGGCATTTCTGGAAAACTTAACCGGAACTGAAAAGTACAGAGGGATGACAGGCGCTGCCCGCCAGGGACCACCCGCTAACCCCCAACGCCTCATTCTGCTGGTGATGTAGTTCATCTCCATACATTCTTTTTAAAACCAAAATTGGGAATGTAGCATTATTTAGTTATGTTTTCTGCTTGTTAAAATCAACAGCACATTGTGAGCCCATCAGTAAAAACTCTTTCAAATGTTATTTTTAACTATTTCCCAATGCCCTCCCTGATTGGAACGGTTCTGGGCATCAAATGTGCTGAGAATAAAATCCAGAGTCCTCGTGGCCTCGCCCTCGCTCTGGCCTCCACTATCTCCTCAGGTCCTTGAGCCACGGGCTTCTTCCGGGCTGGGCCCTGCCACACAGTGCCCTTTGACTAGACCCTCTCCCTGGACAGGCTCACTGCCTCTCAGTCTTGTAGGTCCTCCCCTCCAAGAGCACATCTCTGATATTCTTCATCGTGATGACGGCCCTCCCCCTCTAAGCTCTTGGACACAATTTAACATGATCCCAATCGCCCTATGACCGGCCTTTCCACTAGGGTACAAGCTCGATGGGGGCAGTTTCCTTTCAGGTCCTGTTCGTTTCTGTGTCCCTAGTACATAATGCCAGGCGAAAGGAACACCCTCGGGATGGAAGGAAGGAAGGAAGGAAGGAAGGAAGGAAGGAAAGAAGGAAGGAAGGAAGGAAGGAAGGAAGGAAGGAAGGAAGGAAGGAAAAAAGGAAGGATGAAAGGAGGGAGGGAACGAGGCGGTAGGGAGGGTGGGGGACCAGGAGTGTATACTTAGGATCCTGCAGCTGCATCCAATGCACCTGTGAAAACTGACCTCAGAATGACAGGGAAACCGGCACTGTCTCATCCCCCATGTCCCCCAACCTCCCTCCTGCACCCCTTTATCTCTGACTGCCTGAGCACACGTGGGTCCAAAGGCCTCTGATCTGTTTCCGCCACTCATGGCTCGTGTCGGAGGACTATGGCTGAGAAAATAACTTCCCACAAAGGACCCAGAAGAGCCAAGACAGCCTTACAAAAGGAGGGCTCATGTGGAGGACTGACACTTCCAATTTCAAAACTTGCCGTAAAACTACGAGGATCCGACTGAGTGGTACTGGCCTAGGACGCAGAGGTCAATGGAATGGAAGTTCGAGTTCAGAAATGGGCTCCCATGTGCAGGGCCATCCGACTGTCAGCAAGGGCGCCCAGGCCGGCTGAGGGGGAAGAACAGCCTCTTCAGCAAATGGGTTTGGGACAACTGCAGAGGGAATGGAGTTGGACTGTCCCTCACACTACAAAAGGGAACTCAAAATGGAAGAGCTGCCCCATAAAACCTCACACAGGGCGGGGCAAAGGAAGTCGTTGAAACTGAAAGCTTTGTGCCTCAAAGGAAACTATCAAGAAAATGAAAAAAACCCCGCAGGATGGAAAAAAATACTTGCTAACCAATAAGGTCTAGGAGAACTACTTCAATCCACCAATAAAAAGACAAATAATTTACAAATGGGCAAAATATTTGAGTAGACATTTCTTCAAAAAAAAGATATATTAAGAGGCCAGTAAGCACACGAACAGACATTCAACTTCATCAGTCATTAGGGAAACACGAATCAAAACCACAATGGCATGCTACCGCAGTCCACTGTGATGGCGGGATCGGCAGACGGGTAACGTACGCTGGCAAGGACGCTGCTGGTGGGAAGGTAAGTAGTGCAGCCACCTCTCTGGAAACCAGACTGGCTGGTCGGAAAAAAGTGAGACATAAGAGCTTCCATCTGACCCAGCAATTCAGCTCTAGCAGGTACACCAGAGAACTGAAAACAGGCACACAGAAACCTGTACAGATTAGCTCACTGCAGCATGTTCCTAATAGCCACAGAGTGAAAATATCCATCAACTGAGGAGTGGATTAGAAAACTAGGACCTGTCCGTACAATGAAATGCCGTTTAGCCTCGACGTGAAGAAATGATGTATGGATACACACTGCACCACGGAGGAGCCTTAAGAACAGGCGAAGTCAGTGGTCGGCAAACTCATTAGTCAACAGAACCAAATATCGACAGTACAACGACTGAAATTTCTTTTGAGAGCCAAAATTTTTAAACTTAAACTTCCTCTAACGCCACTTCTTCAAAACAGACTTGCCCAGGCCATGGTATCTTGTGGAAGAGCCACACTCAAGGGGCCAAAGAGCTGCACGTGGCTTGCGAGCCGCAGTTTGCCGACCACGGGGCTAAGTGAACAGGCCGGGCACAGGGGCTCACGATGTGCGATTTCATTCCTATTGACCGGAACAGGCCCGCTCAGGGGTCGAAGCAGATCAGTGGCTCTCAGGGAATGTGGGGTGGGGGTGGGGGAGAGCAGGAAGTGACTGCTAACAGGTCTGTGGCTCTGACGGGTGATGAGAATGTTCTGGAATTAGCTAGTAACTCACAACTTGTGAATATTCTAAAAAAAAAAAAAATCACTGAAATTGTACCTTGTTAAACAATGATAGACTTCGTAGTATGTGAACCTTATTTCCATGAAAAAACTTGCAAACAAAGGTAACGTATTTCATTGAGTCCTGGACAGCACCGATTTTAAGACCGCCTGGGTTCAGAGGCAGGAGCGTGGGAATAGGTGTGCATCCTGGACTCCGTGGAACTGGGCAGTTCACAAAGAGGCGTTCCCACGGGCTCAGGGCCGCCATCAGCGCCTCTCTGCGCCGCCTCCCCTTCAGGAGGGACTGGTCTCTGAGTGTGCAAAAAGGCCTTCCAGGTGACCATCCCGGCCCTTCACTCCCCAAGGGGGGCTATCTGAAAGGTCTGCTCTCTGTGCTCACTTAACACCCAGAGATTTTACCCCCTCACGGCTCAAGCTGACCCCGCTGAAGCTTCTCTCTGCAGGGCACAGGCTGCAGGTGCTCCCCGCCAGCGCCTGTGTGGGTCACGCAGACACGAGAAGTGGGGTACAGCTGTGCTGGGAGGTCTGAGGTGACACGGACCAGCCACAGAGACGCTGCCTACTGCAGCTCACGCCCTGAGCGAGCACCAGAGTTCTGGATGACGGGAGGCGGAGCCTCAGGGCCTCAGCCGGGCAGAGGACTCAGGGCCGGAGCAGATGCTCACCGCGCCGGGGCTCAGCCTGGCCTGGCCTGCGCGGCAGCGGAGGGCGGCAGGGCACTCACCGTGCACTTGTGCGGCTTCTCGCCCGTGTGCCGGCGCATGTGCACCACCAGCATGTACTGCGCCTTGAAGGGCTTCTGCTCCCGCGTGCAGGCCTGCCAGCGGCACACGAACTCCTTCTTCTCCCCGTGGATGTGCTCGTTGTTGATGTGCTGCCGGAACAAGCCCGCAGGGTGAGCCCGGCCAGCGCCTCAGGCCCCTCGTGAGCGCGGCCACCCCCCAGACCCCCTCATTCCGGCCGCACCATTAAGTGAAGACATACTGTGTGCTAATGTCTCGGCTGCATTTCCCAATTAGTCATCGAAGCAACCATCCCAGATGGTCAAGGGTGTCCCACTCCCCCCAGACAGGGCTCCGGACTCCAGTCCGTGAGGACGGGGGCCATGACGATGCTCCCGGCGGTGCTGCACACAGTAGGCACTAACTAAGTGCAGCGAGGCAGACAGGGTGCCTGAGAAGCCTCTCCCGTGCTTGCCCTGCTGTCCCAGGTTTCCATGTGAAGCTTCAGTTATAGTGGAAACACCAATGGGTCCTGGTCTCCACATGTGATAGCCCGTCAGATGGCGGCTCTGGCCCTTTGCACCAAGGCCCAGCTCATTGGTGGCTGCAGGGACTAACCCCCTGGGAGGACCCTGGGACCGTGTGACACTGCCCCGGGCACAGCACAGCCCGGGGAGGCAGCAGAGCCGCCAGCGACCCGGCGACTGGTGGGCAGCAGGGCACTGGGACCCTGCTTGTCAGCTCGAGGCCCACTGGGCGATGGGGCAGAGCGAGGCAAGCAGCTGCCCAGGCGGTGCTCCTCAGACGGTCCTGGCCAGCACTGGCCTGGCAGGAACAGGAATACTTCTGCCCCTGGCCCTGCGCCCACACCGGTCCTCGGCCCTGGCCTCCCCATCTGTGTGGCGCCCAGAATGGTTTCTCCTGTATGAGAATCACAGGCCCGGAGGCTTTCTGTTTCAGCAACAGCACGTGGGCCTGGGCAGACCCTGGGGTGTCAGTCACTTGCTTTGATGTTTAGCCGTGGGCTGCCATCCGCCTGAGGTGGCGCAGCACCCACTGCCCTGAGCTGCCGTCCTCCCTGAAGCAGGGCATCACCCACTGTCCGGCCTCTGCCAGGCCCAAACGCCGCCCCTCCTTCCTCTGATCCAATCTGATCTGCCCCATAACTCAGCGCCCAGGTCCCTTCTCCGTCCCAGACTTCCGACTCAGAGTAAAGACGGACCCTGCCTCACAGGTTCTCCACCAGCTGCGGTGACAGTCTGCTAAGAAACTGGCCTCCTGGGTGAGAAAGCGGGAAGAAAAACCAGCACGTGAGAACCTACAGCACCCCGGGTGCGAGCCGCGGGAGCACGGGTGCATGTGCGTGTGCAGCCCTCACTGTCATGCTGTTTAGTGTGGCTCGTCTTTACAGACACCCGTCCACAGGGAGGTGTGCTGGGACCGGTGTGGGCTTGAAGTTACGCTCTCTTCTGGACAGAGAGGAGAGGCCTCAGGCTGGCATGAGGACCGGGAGCCGGAGGCAGAGGGGCCACCAGGCATGGCTGCGCTCTCTGCTACGATATGTGGTGACACTGGGGTCCTATTCAGTCTCCACACCCTGTGGAGTGGGATTCACCCCCACACAGGAGGAACCCTGCAGCTTACGGAGGCCGAGTCGCCTGTTCTCACCTGCTTAGACTCCCTGGCTGTGGTCTGAAGCCTGTGCCTCCACGCTGAGCGCCACGCCTGCCCTCCCACGGCACACACTGCTTGCGGCCACCACAGCAGGGGCCGCTATCGCAAAGTTTGTGGTGGGGACCGAGGCGAGGGCCCACCCTGTCGGCGCACCCGCTGCCGGGTCTCCTGGGGCTCCTGACCGGCCAGGACCAGGCACGGGCACGCAGGCCGCTGTGCACCGCCTCCTCCTCATCGGGAGAAACTTCCTTCGGGTTCAGCTACCCTATTTCCCGCTGGGCACTGGCCGCTAGGAACCTCAGGGAGAGGGTTTACGAGTGAACTACAGCGCGGAGGACTTGGCTTTGCACACTAACCGGACTTCCTTGTATTGCTCATTTCCCCTTAGCTGTCCCCTGGCGTGTTTTTCTTCTAACCTCTTGTACTGCGTACGTATCTGTAAGCCCCTTTCGGACCCAGGGCCTGGGTGAATAACCATGCTGCCCACTCGCACGGGACACGGCACCCCTCCTCCAGCCCCTTCTCTGTCCGGGGCCTGGGAGGCTGCAGGCTCCCGGCCCTGCCCCTGACCCTGTGAGGCGGCTATGGGGCCGGGAGGCTTACATGCACCAGCTGCTCCTGCGTGTCGTACTCCTTGGTGCAGTCCTCCCAGTGGCAGTTGGTCTCGTAGATGACCACCTCCGCCTCCTGCTTGCAGTCGTCTCTGTCCAGGTCTTCCTTGAGGTCGGCCAGCTGCTCCTGGAGGAGCAGAGCACACCGCTGAGCCTCGTCCGGCACCCCGCCCGCCCCGAGGCTGCCGTGAGCTCTGATACACACAGGCACGCACATCCATCGGCTTCCCCAGCCCTCCTCAGCTGGCCCCTGCCATCCCTCTCCCATCACACAGCTGTCCTGGATCTCCCCCCAACCCCAAGCTAACTTGTCATCACCAAGGCGTCTCGCTGACATGGCGGGAGAGCAGCAGCGAGCAGGCGGTGGCTTTGCTGTTTGGCGTGGTGTTCCCTGCGAGGACCCACAGGCTGTGGGGTGGGGCATTTTAGTCCAAGAGTTTGTGCTCCATGGAGGCAAGAGAACCCCAACAGGCACTTGGCCTGGCCCTCCAGACCTCTCACTTTGTACTGTCCCCTCCTCCCAGGCACCCAGCACACCTGGATTCGCACCCAGGACAGCGCAGCTGGGTGAACACGCTCAGCACGCCCCCCCCCCCCCCCCCCCGCCCCCTGGAGGCAGCAGGCACCGTGGACAGCCTGCAGTGGGGCTTTCCTCCTGCCTGCAGCCAGAGAGGGGGCTGGGGAGGCTCCTCTCCTCCCGGACACACACACACACACACACACGCACGCACACTCACACACACACATGGCAAGTGTGGAGGCCCGGGCTTGGCCTCCAGCCCCCCAGCACGGAGCCCACACGTGCCCATTTCAAGGCGGCAAAGGAAAGGCCCCGAGACAGACTCCGCGCAGTCACAGGTGCTTACATTCAATGAGGACACATTTTACTCCAAAACCAGCAATAGACTGAGTGTAAATCAGTGGCACTGCCTCAGCTGATGTGACACACTGGCCGGGCAGCCTCCCAGCAGGCCCGGGGACAGGCTGGGCAGGAGCAGGAGCCGGTGGAGGAAGGCACCAGGGCCCCAGGCCGGAGGAGGCCCCACGAGGACATAAGGGCTTCCCTGCTCCGCTGACCGCCGATTCCCCCTGGCCCCCAGGCAGGCTCGAGCAACGCCAGGCAACGGGCCGACAGGAGGATGACCTGCCTCCATGCAGACTACCTGCCACTGGCACAGGTGTCCTGTCGTTCCCAGCAGCCTCTGGGGCAGACATCTATAGCTCAGGCTGAGGGGGGACCCTCTCTCCAGAGCCCCTGCAGACACTCAGCCTCACTCCTCGCGCGGCTCTGTGGCTGGGGTGACACCAGCACCACGGCCCCTGCGGCCGGGGTCCCGCCCTCCCGTGGAGCTGGAGGGCTCCTGCAGGAGGGGCCTCGGCCACGCACGCGCTCAGTGCAGCTGAGAAAGGGACGCGAGGCGCACTGCAGGAAGTCCCCGGACAGAGGCCCAGACCGCCCTGCCCGACTCCTCAGGAGGGGCTGGGGGCCTCCTGGTGCCGGCCCTGCCCTCGCAGGAGACCTGGACCAGACTTCCTGCTCTGCTGATTCAAACAGGAGGCTGCCGGCGGACGGTGTGTGGACGGGGTCGGTGGGACAGTACGCCCCGGGGCCCCAGGGCGCGCTGGGCGCCTTCCTAGCCCCTGCGTCTGAGGGCGGGGGGCTGGGCTACGTTTTGTGCCCGGGGAGAGCATGCCCACCCACCTTGCAGGAGCCCGGTCACGGAATCAGACAGAGTGACAGGGTGACAACCCCTCATGATGGATGGCCCTCCCTCTCCTGACACAAACGAGGAGCCCAGCTTGTGGGCCCGGGGCGGGCAGGGGTGGGGGTGGCTCCCTGTGCTCAGTGTGGCCTCCACCCGTCCTCGCCGCTCCCACTGCGGCTCTCCCAGGACACACGCCACCCTCACCCGTTCCCGCCACCCGAGGAGGGCCCCCTGGAAGCCACACATCACACCAAGAGGCGCTGGCGTCAGCGAGGGGAGAGGAATTTGTCACCAGCCCCTCTGCCTGTCTGACAATAACAGAACCCAATATTTCATAAAAATTAAGTGCCCAGAGCATGGCCGAGGCGGCAGCCTGATGAAGGATGGTGTGACAGGGGCAGGGGGACAGGGACAGGGGGCCTGAGCATCGCCGGCGTCAGAGCCGTGACAGGGCAGTAACGGATGGAGGCTGGCCACCGTGAGACGGCGGGAGGCTCCTCTGTGCGGCGAGCACTCACCCGGCCCTTCCCCCGCAGCCTCTGCAGCCAGAGTGGGCGGGCTGTCTGTCCTCTCGGATGCTGACTAGGAGGCAGGGTCTCAGCCCGCACAGGGCACCCCGGCTGTGGGTCGCTCGGTCCCTCACCTTCCCGTTCCTTCCCCTTCACCACACACTTAAGCCCTCAAATGTGCATGGAGTGCTTGGTGACTGAGACCAATCACCGTGCGCCAGGCCAGTGTACACCCGATGGCCTGGAACCAACCAGACCTTCCCTGAGAGGGCCGCCTCCCCACAGCTCCTGGGCAGTGCAGGAGCAGCACAGTGATCCGAGGCTAGCCTGGGCACCTGGCAGCTGCAGCCTAGTCTGCAGGAGGGCCAGGAATGGCTGAAGAGCCAGCGAAGGAGGCAGGGCTCCAGGGAGAGGGAGCCGCTGGGCAGGAGCCTGAGCCATCAGGGGACGTGAGCATCTCGGCTTGTGCTGCATGAGGGTGAGGGGTGTGGTGGGAGGGGAGACTGTCTGCTGCAGCCCCAGATCATTCATTCACTCATTCTGAGGTCATGTTGGAGAAAGGAAGGTAGAGAGAAAAAGAGAAACACTGGTTGCTTCTGTACTGGTCCCAACCGGGGATTGAACCTGAAACCCAGGTATGTGCCCTGATGGGGAATCGAACCGGCAACCTTTCGGTGCATGGGATGATGCTTCATCAACCGAGCCACTCCCGCCAGGCAATTCAGCGTGTGTCTGACGAGCATGTAAGGTGCAGGGTGCTGGGGACACAGCTCTGGTCCTCCCCGAGCTCAGGACCGCCCGCCCCGCCCACCCTGGCTCAGTCATTAGTTCATGCAGGCAGCCACCTGCTCATCCTTCACCAGCAGGGGCTCAGTCCCCAGGCTGCTGGCCCCGCGGACCGGGCCTGGCCCAGCTGGAGACGTGAGGGTGGTGGGCAGGTTACCTGCGCCAGGGTCACCGGGGAGGCTGGCCGCAGGCCCTCAGCTTCCGTCTTGACCTTGCTGCGTTTATGAATGACGATGGGGTTGACGGTGCTGCTCACAGCCGACTCGCTGGTCTGCTTGCTCTGAGGAGGTGCAGGGGAGAGCCTGTCACTGAGGGCAGGAGGACACCCACACCTCTGGACCCTCTCCACACAGCCTATATGGGCCAACCCTTGTGTTTGGAGTGGGAGAAACTGAGTCCTCCCAGCTTATTCCCCAGCAAGAAGCATAGCTAGGAGAGAGCCCAGACGGCCTGCCAGAAGCTGGGATGTATTATAACAGAGGCCTCTCTCTGGAAGGGGGCTCGGAGGACTGGGTGAAAAGCAGAAACTCCTGGGATGTACTGTACGGTACAGGGAATACAGTCAGTAACGTTGTAATAAGTCTGTATGGTGCCAGGTGGGTGCTGGAAATATCGGGGAACGCTGTATAAAGTATACTAGAGGCCCAGTGCACTAATGTGTGCACGGGTGGGGTCCCTCGGCCTGGTGGGCAATCGGGCTGATGGGGACCATCTTGTGCAGTAGCTACTGGGGCCAGCCAGCCACAGGGAGGGATGGGGGAGGTTGGCATGTTATAGGAGGTTGGCTGTGGGAGCTCACTGACTGCCAGTAGGCAGTTCCTGCATTGAGCATCTGCCCCCTGGTGGTCAGTACACATCATAGTGACCAGTTGACCGGTAGTTTGGTCATTTGGTCCTTAGGCTTTGATATGTATAGAGGATTACCTAACCACTATGCTGTACACCTGAAATTAATACAAAATAACATTGAATGTAAACTGTAATTAAAAGTTTTTAAAAGATGGTCTTTGATACATCCATGCTCTACAACTAAACTGCACGATATTAATTATTATTCACCAATCCATTTCATATTCTGGGTGGGGAGCACCTACATGTGCCGACTGTGACTTCTAGGTTTCTCCGTCTACTCACCTGTTGACTGTGACATCAGACCTGAGGCTGGGGCTGCCCACAGGAGTGGGAGCGGTGCCAGGATCCGCCAGGCCTCCCACCCAGCCTCATCCTTTCAATCACGTGGCCTCTTCACAGAAGGCACCCCTAGCCAGACCCACACCCCGAGTCCTCCTGCACGTTGTCAGGGTGAGATGGGGATCACCAGCCCTCGTGGAGTCAGAGCACCTGTGGGCCCGCCCCGCACCCCGTGCCCCGCGCCCGCCTACCTGGCTGGCGTCGCTCAGACAGTTGCTGCTGCTGCTGAGCTGGGTGGGCGTGGTGGTGATGGCGGTGAGGGCCATGGGCTGCTGGGCCAGGAAGGTGGGGGAGGGCTGGAGCAGGGGTGGCGTGTGTCCGAAGGCCGAGCCCAGGCCCCTCTGCTGGCTCAGGATCTGCTGGTAGGCCACGGGGTTGATGGGGTGGGGGAAGGTGAAGGCTGGGCTGCAGAGAAGAGCAGACAAGGCAGTGAGCGAAGGAGCAGGAGCGGGGACCAGGGCTCTGCGAGGCCGACACTTCCCGGGCAGAGAGGACTGCATGGGCACGTGCTAACCTCGCCACCGCCACGGCTCTGCTCACCCAAGAACCGGCAGTGGCTCTCCATGGCGGTCATCACAGGCCTTGCCTGTCACGCCTAGCCTCCAGACCCTGCCCGGTGCAGCCTTCACCCTGGCAGGCTGGCCCCAGATTCCGTCCCAGCCCACTCTGGCCCTCCACGGCTCTGGCACCCCCCTGCTCCCTACGAGCCCCACGGGGCCTCCAAAGCCCGTTCTAACGCCCTCCGGGCACATCCCCCTCTCCTTCCTCTCTCCCACTGCACTCGGGTCTGCGCTGCCACCGCACCAGCCTTTCCAGAAGAGCTCACTGAAGGAAGGACGCGGTGGCTCCCCACCTTCCGACGGAGGGCGGGGTCAGCGCCGTGTCCTGAGAGACCCTGCGGACAGCTATGTGAGGGCCTCCTGGAAGCGGAGCCCGGGCCGTCGCCCTCAGGTGACTGCAGCCTTGGCTGGCGGCTTCCGGGACCGGCTAAGCCCACCTCACATCCTGACCTCAGAGGCGGTAATCCTGCTGTTTTAAACCGCCACGTACAGAAGTCATTTACCATGCAGTGAAAGGTGACGGACATGTTCGTTACCTCTTCCATTTCTGGGTCCATGAGCCGAGCTCTCCCGGCGTTCCTAACACCTCGGCCTCTCTCGAGATGGTGTCAGCCCAGTGGGCGGCTCTGAGGCCTCAAACGGGCTGGGCTAGTGGTGTGGACGAGGTTGGGGTGTGGCCACCGGGGAGCCTGCTGCCAGCCAGAGACTCGCACGGCCCAGGTCAATGTCACTCACCCTTGTGTGCCCCCAAGAGGTCAGGGACCTGGCCGCTCCACGCACTCCCTTCCGTACTAGGAAAGCCACCTTGGACTTGAGGACCGAATCTTTCGTGACAGGCCCGCCAGAAGTTGTGTTTGGGGCACGAAGTCCTGTCTTCCTTCTCAGGTGACAGCGCTGTCCCTCCCCACTTGGTCCCCAGTCCGGCTCCCTACTCCCAGCCTCTGCTGCAGGCGGGGCTCACCTGAGGGTGCCCGCCGACAGGTGCCCGTAGGAGCCGCTGGCGGCCGAGCTGCTGCGGGAGTTGTTGATGTAGGCCACCAGCGAGTTGGGGGAGGTGCGGATCATCCGCTGCAGGTCCAGGCTGGCGTCCGACAGCGGGGAGATGGACAGCGCCCGCTTGCGGCTCAGGCGGGGCGTCACCCGTGGGCTGGAGAAACGCGACACTGTGGGACAGCCAACCAGGCACATCAGCAACGCGGGTTGGGGGTGAGGGGGCAGGTGGACTGCAGGTGAAGGACAGCTCTGCCGTTCTCGCTGTGGCCATTTTCAGCCTCAGTCTGCCCATCTATAACATGGACTGATCCACACGTGGTGTGGTGAGGACTTAAGCAGCATAGGTTAGAGGCTTGCATGAATCTGAGCGCCCTTCCTGTTCAGGGACCAGCTGGACCCACCAGTGCCTGGCGCAGGACAGCAAAGCGCACAGGGACGTGAGGCCAGCACCAAATGGTTGCCAGTTCGATTCTCAGTCAGGGCACATAACTGGGTTGCAGGTTCAATCCCCAGTTGGGGCATGTATGGAAGGCAACATATGGATGCTTCTCTTTCGCATCCATGTTTCTCTCTCTTAGCATGTCCTCTGGTGAGGTTTAAAAAACAAAACAAAACAGGGCCTGGTCAGTGCCTAGAAGCCCCCCTGTCTGTCCAGACCTGCCCCAAACTAGGCTGACCTCCAAAGGGCAGCTTAGTCTTCCTGCTTCTGAGTATTTGCCTATTCATGTAAATGAAGTTATAAATACTATTAAATCCAGCTCCTTCACCCAGCGTCAGTTTGTGAGATTCTCTGCACTGCACTGTATGGCAGTCACTGGCTTTTTCATTGTAGAAAGCTCCATTGGGGACTCTGTGGGCAGGGTAGCCTGGTATGTCCCTGAGGGAGAGGTCCTATGTGGTCTGAGCTGGTCTGAGCAGGCACCACTAACACAAAATGGGGGGCCAGGCCAGGCCGTGGGGAGCACCGCATGGGGGTGGTGGTCAGGCTGTGCTCCCTGCGGCCTGGCACAGCATGAAAGCTCCCTGGCCAGGCCACAGGGAGCACAGCACAGGGGCTGGGGACAGGTTCAGGCCGTGGGGAGCAGAGCACTGAGGGGCTAGGCCAGGCCACAGGTAGCACAGCACAGAGGGGCCGGGCCAGGCCGTGGGGAGCACAGCATGGGAGGGGGGGGTGGGCAGGGGCTAGGCTGTGTGGGGCACAGGGTGTGTTCAAGTATCCACTGGGTTGTTTACAGGCCACCCCTCCAACCCGAGGCCACTGTCGGGAGGACACGTGGGCAGGGGCCAGCAGAGCACAGGGAGAGGCCGTCCCGCACAGGTATCCAATCAGGGCACAGTGGCCGGAGGACTGACATGCGCCTGCTAAGTGCCGGGCACTTCTCTCACCTCCCTCATCCCCTCACCACAGCCCTGGACGTCCGACTGGGGGCCCCTTCCCAAGGAGGACACCGGGCCCGGAGAGTCTGGACAGGGTGGGAGCCGTGGTGTGTGGAGACCTGTCCAGTGTCGTCAGACCATTTCTAGGCTGTGTGTTGTCCAGGGGAGACCCAGGGCCCCGCTGTCTGGAGCCAGAGCCGGAGAGCTCAGGGCAGGGAGCCTGGGGGCAGGGAGCCCTGGGCAGGGAGCTGGGGGCAGAGAGCCTGGGGGCAGGGATCCAGGGAGCAGGGAGCCCCGTGGGCAGGGAGCCCGGGGCAGGGAGCCCCATAGAGGCAGGTCCTCCTCCCTCCCTGCAGTTGTGCATGAACAGCAGACTCGCCTGACTCCTGGGAGAGACTCCAGGACCCCAGGGATGCCTAAGACGGGACAGGAGCACCCCTGCACACACTGTAAGTGTTAGGTGGTTTAATCTCCACCAGCATCTGTAAGGAAGGGGCTAGCAGCCTCATGTGCAAATGACTAGGCGTTTGTCCTGGAAGCCTTGGCAGATGGGAAGGCAGGTAGATGGCCAAACCGCCACCTCACAGCTTCTGCTTGGGTGGGAGGTGAGTATCATGGGAGGGTGCTCCTGGGGGTGGGTGGACACACACACCGGCCACACAGGCCCGGTGCTTCGTGGCTGCCTCGGCGCATGCTACTGAGCCGCCTGAGCCTCTCTGCCTGTCCGCACAGGGCGGTGTGCTTGGCCGGCAGGGAGCCGTGAGCCCGCATGGAGAGGAGGAGGGACAGTGCCTAGAGCCCAGCAGTGCGTTCACAGGGGACTGTGAGTCCCCCTTCAGGGGCCCTCTAGCCCCTCGGTTCTTATTCACTGAGCCGCACCGCGCCAGCCGCACTTACAGGGAGCTCAGAGAGGGAAGAAAAGCTTTAGGAGCTGGCCAACGGGAGATGCTGGTGGGAGACAGCACATCATGTAAAGCAGAAATGCACACCTCTTGGTGGTACAATTTTACAAAAAGGTTTTGCCAATATTTGGATTCCCACCCTCTCTTGCGCCCTTAACAAGAGGAAACAGGCCAAACCTGACAGTAATATTCATCTCCGTTATCCCACCCCTCCAGGGAGACGTGTTTATTAATGCGCCTCTTCCCTTGACAAATTACTAAACAGGAAGGAAAGCCTGGCGCTCACTTCCCGGGCTTCTCCTGTGATTTACGACCAGGATGGCGGAGCCGCCGCCCCCGCTCTGAGGGTGTGCCGTCCCGATGTCCGACGGCTTCCGGCGGCCAGCCACAGCCGGCCCTCACCTCGGCAGCCCGCTGCCATCCATGCCTGCCGCCGCTCACGTCTCGCCCTGCCTCACCAGGGGTCTTCCTTCTGCTCATCCGTGTTTGTTCTGCACCCGCAGGCCTGTGCGCAGTGTGGACAGTAGGCCAGGCACTGCTGGAGGCCGTGGGGTCTGTAAGCAAGGAGGACCCCCGGCCTTGCTCCTGGACTCACCTTCCAGGTGCGAGATGGGAATGGTGGCTCCCCGCAAGCAGGATTCCTGAGGTGCCACTGTGCTGGGTTAGCCCAGGTAGTCCCGTGCTCGGGTGTGTGCACATGTATGTGTGCGCGTACATGTATGTGCACGTGCATGTGTGTACATGTCTGTGTACATGCATGCGTGCGTGTGTGTGTGTGTGTGTGTGTGTGGCTGCATTCCCCGAGGAGGCCAGGAAGGGCAGGAGATGTGGGAGCAAGCACTGTACCCAGGCTGACCCAGGTTCCCATCTGGCCGGTAGCTCTGAGCTGGGTGGCTCTCGGTGAGTCACTGAAACTGTAAGCCAGGCCAACAGCGCCTCCCTCCGGTGGCTGTGGGCTGCTGGCCAGCGTATCCATAGCTCTGGGTGGACTGCCTCTGGACCTAGGAACCTGGGCTGAGGGCAGCCAGAGGGATGCAGGGAACAGACTCCGAAGGATCCTGGAGCCATTTTTGCTCCAGATGCTACTGTTGTCAGCATCTGGCTGGGACACACCCTCCTGGGGGCAGCGGGACGCACCCCTGTGGCAGGTCCTGGGCCCCGAGTCCTCGGTGTGGGAGAGGCCTCCTGCCCGGCCCACTCTCACCCAGACCTTTTCTGGACTCACTGAGGAGAGGCTCTCAGGACATCCAGCCGAGGACCTGGCCTGCCCACTGAGCTGCCCGCAGCCCCTCCCCGCCCTGATGGGGTGAGGAGGGAGCCTGGGCTTCGGAGCCCAGGGCGGGGGTGAACCTGACCAGCCGTGTCCTGCTTCTGCGATGCAGGGCTCCAGCTGGGCTCCTCACTGTGAGTGACTGCCTGGGGCTTGTCTCTCAGGCTGTGGGCAGGCTGAGCGGTGGCCCGCCGGCCGCACTAGCTGTGCCTGAGCACCACAGCTGCCCAGGACCCCGGCCAGGCCTCTCCGCGGCGGCTGGCCAGAGCTGCCTGCCTCGGGCCGCGGCTGTCCCTCCTCCCGCCTCTCTGTGGTGTGATCAATGTAATTGGTTTCTGAAAACCCCCTGGACCCACAAGCAGCATAAAGAACAGGGAGGTGACATCCGAGTCAAATTAGTGTCACTATGACAATAAATATACAGCCCGGAGGAAACATGGGCTGTAAGCAGACAGCATTTCAATCGGAAACATCTCCATCTTCCCAATGCCGTGGGAGTGCAGGAAGCGGCGGCGGCGGCTGAGCCGCTGGTAAATCACCGATCTCCAACAGACAGCACGAGGAAATCCCACTTCCAGGCGCTGAGGACAGCCAGAGTCCATGCCCAGAGAACTTGCGGCAGAGGGTAACCGGGGCCCTGACTGGTTCTCCACTGCCTCCAACGCCCCGCCCCCTCCGTGCTCTCCAGGCTGAGTCAGATCCTTTACGAACCAGAGGCAGCGAGCCTTTGTCCACACCAGGAGGCCGGAGCTCCCAGCGAGGGGCAGGGCTGGTAGGGAGGTGCCCTTTCCTGCCCAAGCCTGGCCTCCCTGGGAGGGGCGTCCACCTCCCACCTCCCCTCCACACCACCCTGCGTTCCCCTACGGAGGATGTGTGCTGTATAAATGAGATTATTTTAAGCTCAGTGGAGACAGATACAGGGACATCATCCTCAAATATTACCAGGTTTCCATTTAAAAAAAATGCAAAGTTCCATTTTAGTATCCACTTATTTAACCCCCAAAGGTGAGCCTATTAAAAGTATAATCTATTCTAATTAAAGGTTAATATATTAATTAGACCTGGAGAACTTCCAGGAGACCTTCCAGACATCCTTCCGGACAAAGCCTTGGTAGTGGGGCTGAGGCAGAGGCGGTTAGGGGCGATAGGGTGGCAGTTGAGGGAGATCAGGCTGGTGGGGGGAGAGGTGGGCAGGGGGGGATGTGGGCAGGGGGGGCAGGTGGACAGGGGGGGCAGGTGGGGTTGAACTGGCTGGTGGGGGATGGCAGTTGGAGTTGATCAGGCCGACAGGCAGAGTGATAGGAGCCTGTGGTCCCGGATTGGGAGAGGGATGTCCCAGATTGGAGAGGGTGCAGGCGGGGCTGAGGGGGACCCTTCTCCCTCCTTCTGCATGAATTTTGTGCACTGGGCCACTACTATTACATAAGAATCGTGCAGATGGCACTTGTCTGAGGTGATATTGTGCTGTTGATTTGCCATTGAGTGGACGGGGACTGCTCTGCTGGATGCAGACCCCCAAGGCCATCCCATACACACTCTCCCAGGCAGCCTCAGCCTGCAGATCCCGGCCCCACACCCTGGTCTGACAGTCAAAGCCCCAGAGGGTTCTCTCTACCCCACTGCTCTGGCTCCTCTTGGACTGTGAAGGCAGGTGCTGAGAGAGGAGGCTGGGGGACGGGGTGGCCTCAAGGCTGTGTCCTTTGTCCTGCCAGGAGCTTACCGGGAGCAGCGCCACGAGGGCGGACGTGTGGCAGGGCCTCGCTGAGTCCCTCCCACGTAGAATGGCGCCTCACTCCGCCTGAGAAGCTGATATGCCTCCCAGGCCAGAGCTGGAGGCGATGCCCACCCTGCACCCTAAGCCCGGGCGCTGGAAGGACGGATGGCAGTGGTGTGACGAGTCAGTCAGCGGCAGCTGACCCGAGCTGGGTGTTCCTGTGCCCATTGGTGAACCCGCCTCCTCACTCCCTGCCCTCCAGTTCTGGGGCACAGCCCCTGTGTGTGACCCAAGGCTGAGGGCCCAGAACACAGCTGCCCTGCGCCAGCCCCGTCCCGGCGCCCTGCACTCTGACAGCTGCTGGCCCAGCTGTTTCTTCTCGAATGAGTTCGCACCTTCCTATCCCAAATGCCCTGTGACTGCCACTCGCGCGTGTGCTCACCCACAGACGCAGAGGCCTGCTCCCTGGCCATGCTCTGACCCGAGTGTAGACTCGGAAGTGCCAGCCAGGGCAGCCTGAGTGCCTCAGGCCCTGAGCGGGCATGGAAGGAGGGGCAGCTGGGCCGGGGTAAGACCGGGGCAGTCTCGGGAGATGTGCCGACTGGCCTGGGTGCTAGGACACAGTGTAGGACTGAACCAGGCCGGCCTGCAGGAGGGCCCTGCAGGCAGGAGCGGGGAGGTGTCCGGGGGAGTCTAGATGCAGTGGGTGGCGGGTGGGGGTGTGCCCTCCTTCCCAGACTGCCTCTCGGCTCCGGCTCATGCCTGCCTCTCGTTGCTCACTTATCCCCATGGTCATTCGGCAGTCACCCCTGGGGCTCCTCACCGCCCTCGGGGTGCACTTCAAACTGTGACGTGGTTTCAGTGGCCTTCCTCAGCCTCACCCTTCCCCCCGTGAGAGAGGGAAGAACATACTGGGGGAAGACATTGACACTACCATCGGTGCGTGTGGCCCAAGCTCGGCCCCTGCGGACACAGTCCTGGCCAGGGTTGGGTAAACCCAGACCCGTCCTTAGGGTTCCTTACCCCCAAAGGAGCAGCAAGTGCCCGTCTCAACCCCCGGGGGCACCGTCAGCCCAGCCCACCCCGCTCCCTGCCCCCAGCTGGCCCAGCACTCACCGTCCACTGGATTGAGGTAGTCGTGGAGATGGGGGGTGCCAGCGGCGCCCCCCGACTGCAGGAGCAGGTCCCCGTAGGACGCAGGGTGGCCCGCCATGAGCGCCACCTGGTGGTAATAGTCTGAGGGGTTGGCGCCTGTGGGGGGGAGGCCAAACAGCCCCCTCTCCTTAAGGTGCTCATGGACCACTGTGGGCAGAGGGAAGGGAGAAAGAAAAAAGCCGTCAGAATCTGGCAAAAGAGGAAACAGGAGAACTACCACCTGGCCTGAGGAGTTGCCCTGTGTCCCGAGGTCCAGCCCTTGTGCTCTGAGCGCCTGTGTGCCCTCCCCTGGCCCCTGTCCGCACGGAGCAGGCCAGTGGGTGGCATGTTCCTGCAGATGGGGAGGAGGCCAGCGCGGCCTCAGCTCTGCATTTCTCCACTTCACCACAGCCACCCCCCCCCCCCTTCCGAGCCCCGCAGAAGCCACAGCGAGGCCCACGGGCCCAGGCTGCAGCGAGGCTTCCGAGGAAAGATACCGACAAAGGTGCCAGGACAGCAGGCGGTGGGCTGCCTGGCAGAGCCCCTGCGCATTCCAGGTGAGAGCGCAGCCGAGAACTGGTCGGACCCGGCTAGATGGAGCCCCTCGCCTGCCGCAGGCCACAGCTCCCTGTCCAGCGGCTGCAGAGCGGCTGTCTGCCTCCGCCCTCACTCAGCCCTGCCCAGGCTTCACAGTCAGGGCACATGTCAGTTCTCGAGGCCGGAGGGGGGGTGGGATGGCGAGGACCGGCCCTCAGGGCTGTGGCGCCAGGGAAAGGAGGGGGGCTTGGAAATCACACCTCGCCAGGGCGAATCCTGGCTGCACCAGGTCTGCGGAGCTGGGCGATAATGCCGCCGCTCGGGGTCTTACTGATGACAGCAGCACAGGGCTGTGCGAGCGCTCGGGGCTGGGCAGGCGCTGCGAGAGGGAGGCGGTCACTCTCTGGTTTCGCCAGGGACACACCGTAGGCAGTCGCCTTTACCTCCCTTAGCACTGAGAGGGCCAGGGGTCCTGCCCAAGGTCACACAGCAGGTGGCTGGGTCTAGAGCTCAAGTTCCCAACCTCTGCGCCCACGCCCTGCCATCCGTCCTGCAAACACCACGGAGACCCTGTGGCTGGAGAGGGAAGCCGGCAGCAGAAGAGGCTTCCTCCTCCCCCTGCACCCGCATCCCTTCTTCCTCTTCCTTCCTTCTTCTCCTCCTCTCCCCCAGCTCCTCTCCCCTCCTCCTCCTTCTCCCACTTCTCCCTGCTCCATCATCTCTTCCTCCTCTCCTCCCCCCTCCCCCATCTCCTCCTCCTCCCCATCTCCTCTGCGTCCTCTAGAGAGAGCCTGGTCTCCAGCCCTGGCACTGTAAGGCCTCTGCCTGTCGTCTGTCCATGAAGGAAACGCCCCCCCCCCTCCTCGTCTGCCCCTCCTCCCTGAAGTCTTCCCCAAGTGCCCATTCACCCTCGGGCACACGTGGTCTGGCAGATGCTGCCTCGTGCCCTCCGGTGCTGGGCTGATGCTGCCGGGGCAGCCTGACAGGCCCTTCAGTCTCCTGGGGGCGCCGGGGCCCGGGCCAGGGCGACCTCAGGGTGTCAGGTCCACCGGGGGGCAGGGTCATGCAAAGCAGCCACAGCCTCTCTGCTGACCATGGCCCTCGTGGGTGTGGGAGTGGGTAAGCGGGTGTGGTAGGAGCCGCCTCAACGTTTACGTCAAAATCAGGCGAGAAGCCAGAGCTCAGTCAACTCCTGCCTCCTTTGAGGGCAGCCTGTCCACCACGTGGCTCTTCACGGACCACACACTGTCCCTGGCCCAGAGGTCTCCAGAGCGGGCTCGGCTCCAGGCCTCCTCCTGACGCCCCACGCTCCCCCAGTCCCCTCCCCCCAAATGAGTGAGCACTGGCTCCAGGCTGTGACCAGTGAGCGCTCGCAGCCTCGGTGTAATTGCCGCCAGACCGAGGTTCCTCCCTCCGGGCTGGAGGCCGAGCCCACACCGGGGTGGCAGCACCGGCCCTGGAGGCTGTCGGGCAGAGTCACTCCTGCTGCTTCCGGCTGCCGGGGTCTGGCTAACTTGGCTCCTGCAACGTCACTCCCATCTCTGTGTTGTCTTCTCGTCTGTGTCTTATAAGGACACTTGTCCTTGGATGTAAGGCCTGAGTGGACAGCCCGGATGATCTCATCTCAAAATTTCCACACCCGCAGAGGCCCTTTCTTGAGCCCGGCTGTGCTCTCTGTTCAGGATGAGACCTGACTTCTCCCCGGGGGGCACCGCGCAGCTGACGACACCACATTTGAACTTCAGGGCCTGCCCGCTGGTGCTCCAGCCGCTGGCATGGGCATCAGGAGGCGGGGCACCGCCCGCTGTCCACGAGGGGAGGCGGACGCAGCACACACCCCTTCACACACCTCAGCTCGGTCCAGGCCAGCCGGGACCACGCAGAGCGCAGGGCTGGGCTCTGACCCTGAGCGGCGGTGTTCAGGGCCCTTTGCCCGGTGCGGTTTCTCCTCAGTGAAGGGGGGAGCGGTGCCACAGGGTACCTCCTGGGCCCGTGGAGGCTGCATTCTCACCAGGACACATGGGCCTGGGGCTCAGCTTCACTGGGAGCTGGGGGCGGTGCAGCGAGGACAAGGGATGCGTGGGCCGTGGCCCCGGCCTCTGCCCGTGGCTCACAGTGCCCACGGCTCACAGTGCCCGCAGCTCACAGTGCCCGCGGTTCACAGTGCCCGCAGCCATGGCCTCTCTCGGCACTGACTTCGGCCCAGGGGAAGGTTTCAGTGGCGGGTTTGAGAAGACTCACCTGGTTGCTTATTTTTTTAAACTTTTTTTTTTTGTCAACTACAGGTGACATACAGCATTTATTGGTCTCTGGTGCTCGAGGGATTAGGCATTTATAGATTTAGGAAGTGACCCAATAAGTCCGGGCCCCACCTGGCACACAGGGCAGTACTCACCGTCGGCGGGGCTGAGGCCCCGGGCTGCAGAGATGGCGGGGAGCGTGGGGCTGCTGTGCACGGCGCGAAGGTAATGCTCCATGTGGGGGCTCACGTACGGGTGGGGGGCACTGAACGGGGACTCCCCGGGGCCGGCCGGGTGGGGGGAAAGCCGGATCAAAGAGATGTCGGAGATGACGGGGCTGCCACTCAGGGCAGGTGGCCTGCAAGAGAGAGAGAGAGACGGGGGCTTCCTGAGGAGCCGTGGCCTGCTGAGGACCAGCACTGTCATTCGGTGTGCCAGATCGCTGTCACCCTTCAGGAGCCCGAACGCCCCTCCCCCCCCCAGCCCGTGAGTGCAGGGGAGCGCCTGCGTGCGGAGGCTGCCCCGCCCCCGGGTGGGTGGAATGCCCCGCACACAGGGCTGGGCGTGCTGGGCCACAGGCTCAGCGGTCGCACCCCTGGACAAGGTGTCGCCATTGCTTCCCAGGGCGCTCCGGCTGCACACACAGCGGTAACAGGCCAATCTCCGTTGAAGGAATGAGTGTGTGCCTTCTGCAAATGTGTGAAAAGCAGAACATGGAGATTCTAACGCTCGAGTAAGAGGCAGAGCGCTCATATCCCTAACAGACGTGAGGAAAGAGGAGCGCAGATGCCCCAGAGAAGTCTGGCCGCAGCGGGCAGTCCCTGTGTGCAGCGCTCGGCGCCATCCGCTGCGAAGGAAAAGGTGGAGACCCAAGAAGAGCTTTGGAAAGAGCTGTGACTAAGTCTGGGATATCATCCCAGCCTCCCTCAGAGGAATTCCTCCCAATGCTACGAAGCCTCCCTTCTCAGAGGTCCTGCCAACCGTGGCTGCCTTGGTCCCTCTGGTCCGGCTGGCACCGCCGCCACCCATTTCTACGTCCCGAGGCTGGCCCTCCTGCCAGCTCTGCCCAACGTGGGGACGGACTTCACAAAGGACCCGGGGCCCGTGGGCAGCTGTCGGCCTGTGAGCTGCAGGGGTGCGGAGAGGTTACATTAAAGAAAACGCACCACCAAGTCACTTGGGAATGAAACTCACCTAAATTCAGTTTTCAAATCTTTTCAGACAATAGGGTCTCTCTATGACTTGGCAGAGCACAAAGAAAAGAATGTGTTAGGATCACACAAACCTGGGTTAGAATCTCAGCCTTTAACAGCTCAAACTGAGCAATTACTTTAACCTTCCCAAGCCTCAGTCTCCTCACCTGTAAAGTGGGGATAAACAGTATCTATTTCATAGGATTGCCAGGAGGATGAAAGTCCCCCAAAGGGTGACACAGCTGCCAGCCTGCTGTTACAGCTTCAGCACCGTGCTTTGCGGGAAAAGCCCGGAGGTGCCCAGGGGCCCGCAGCCTTCACATGGGGCTGGTGTTGGATGGAAAAGCTGGCACTGTCAGACTGGTTACTTCAGGGAAGAAGGTCTGCTGGCCGGAGCAGAGCTGGTCACAGAGCACGCTCAACAGTGCAAGCAACTGCGCTGACAGCACAGTGCCAACCAGGAGCGAGCAGCTGACTGCAGACGGCTGAACAGCTGGGCTAACAAGCTACCCGAGGCTGCTCCCCGGCCTGGGCGTAAGCACTCTGCAACCTTATTTCCTAGCTTTCGCGGATGCGACTGCAGTGACGTGTGGATCCCAGGAACTCCCAGGCCAATCCCACGCTGCCGCGCTGGCCTCAGATGCCTTCCTGCACCCTGTACCTCACTGGGCTAATTCTCTGTCCTCCCTGTAAGCCCAGTCAGGGATCCCTCTCAGTGGGATCTGCCATCCCTGAACAACCTTCCTGTATGGCTCTGCTTCCTTCTCCCTCTGCCTCCCTCCCTCCCGCCGGGTGCATTGCTCCTGATGGGCGGTCCTGGGAGCAGGACCTGTCCCGGTACCTCTGATGCTGCAGTGGTAGGGGCAGGCTCCTGCAGAGGCATTCTGGAAACCAGTGAGGGCTGCACGTGTGGGTGCCGAGTTCTGAGCGTTGCAGAAGGAAGCCTTGGGGATAAACCTCGAGCTGTTCCTTCCCAGGCCGCCTCCAGAGGCAGCCACCGCGAGGAGCTGCGCTAATTGTGAGGGGCTCAGGAGAGATGTTGGGCGGGGCTGCTGTGTGTCTGGGGGAAACGGAACCTCACATCCCCACCGCAGGACAGGTGTGAAGACAGGACTCAGGAGTCCGTCCCTGTGGGGCAGGGGGGAGGCCTGTAGGTGACTCGTGGGACAGACCTGGGTGGGAGGGTAAACGCTCTGGAAGGCTGAGGGGTAAAGGCAGGGGCCCAGCTGGCCTGGGGAAGAGTTGAGGTGCTCCCCATTCTCAGTCCCTTGGCTCCTTCCCCAGGCACTCGGGGCCGGGCAGGTTCTGGAGCCCACAGGATTCGATCGGGACTGTGTCACCGCAGCCTGTAGTCCTAGGGGGCCTGCCCAGGCCTCTGGCCCCGTGGAGCCCACTGACCACAGCTGAGGCCCACGAGACAAGCCGTGGTTCCACGGGGAGTTAAAGGGCCACGTTCAGCCCAGGGCAGCCTGGGTGCTGTGCGCTGACCCCTTCCCGGGCCAGGTGGGCCTCTCCCAATAGGAGGCTGGACTGGGTGGAGCCTGCAGCATGCACCATAGTGGGGCCTCCCTGGGAGGCGGGAAGGGGCGGGGGTAGCCCCATCCGGCTGCAGAAGGTGGGCTCAGAGGTGGCAGGTGGGGCCTGCTTCTCCGCAGAGAGCACCTGGGTCGTCTGTCTCTATTCTCAGTCGCCACCCTCTGGGGAGAGTGGATTCTAACCCCCTTCCCCGAACATGCCACTCCAAGGAAGCAGGGAGCGCGTGGCTTCGGAGCCCTCCTCCGGGCCCAGGCCCAGGCTCGGGGAGGTCTCAGCGGCGATGACCTTGGACATCAGCAGGAGGACGCAGAGCTGCCTGGCCATCGGGAACACCAGTCCAGAGAGGGCAGTCACCCCTCCATGTGGTGCGGCCAGAGAGACGCAAGCCAGGATCCCACCCACGTGGGCCTCCCTCCCTCCCCAGAGGTGCTGCCCGTGTCCCCGGGGCCACCCCGCCTTACAGCGAACCGAGGGCTCCCTGTCCCTGTGACGGGGCAGGACGCTTGGAGTTGGCACTGCTGTACCCGAGACAGACGAGACAGGGACGAGGTGAGACAGGCCAGCTCACAGGGTGGACAGAAGGCACACGGGACGGCCCTTGCCCTTCCCTGTGCTGGGAGGCTGCTGGTGCCGGTGGGGGGGCGGGGGGGAGGGAGGCAGGGCGGACCAGGGCGCGGTGCCCAGTGGACTAGACTGCGGAGGATGGGAAGGAGCTCGAGGGAACCCGGGCCAGGACACCGCCGCCTCTCCCAGAGCACTGCCTCCTCGTCAGGTCTGACCCCTCCCACTGAGCCGGTGGCCACGACCAGGGCACCGCCCTGTCTGCATCTCACCAGTGCTGGGCACTAGCTGGGGGTTACAAGCATCGACTCCCTTCCCTGCTAGGCCTCAAGTCAACTTGGGGTGTGGCGTACCTGCTGCCCTGGCTGCTCAGTACCCAAGACCGCAGGCCCATCTGCCAGCCCGGCCACGGGTGCCCTCCAGACACCTCCTCCAGGAGGCCCCCCGAGATGGCCCCCCAGCACAGCCCCAGGTAGCTGTGCCCTGACCCGGAATGTCCCCCAGGGAGGCTGCCTGGCTGCCGCCCCAAGTCATCTGGGCACACAGCCGGAAAGACTGGGCCGCGGCCTCAGGCCACCTTAGACCCACTAAGCCAAAGGCCCCATTTCCAAGGCAGAATCCCAGCATTACTGACGCATTGGGGGCTTAGAGGCCTTCCAGCAGCCCTGAAATCACCCCAAAACCGCCAACCTGCAAAGCAGGTCCTTCAGAGGCCGGGCGTCTTTTCTTGGGCGCTTGGTCCCATCCCGGCCTCACTCAGTCCCGGCAGGCTGAGCGGAGGACTGTGCCGTGGGACCGCACCAGCAAAGACATCCGCTGGGGAAACCGGAGCCACGGCGTGCGGCCACCCTCCCGCCCACGCCCCGTCTCTCCCCTACTTCCAGCCCAGACTGCGCGGGCCGACCCTGCGCTCAGCTGCGGCCTGGCCAGGCCCTGGATTCTGGCAACGGAGTGGAGACGCAGGAGGTGGCCTGGGGGCGGGCGGAGGGCTGGCGGTGGTGCTTGTGTTGAAAGGGTTGCAGTCTCTGTGTCGCAGGTGCGCAGGCACGCACACGCTCACACAGGCCACAGCGCAGGACTGGCAGAGTCCGCCTTTCCACCCTGTGCGGCTTCAACAATACTCTCTGCACTGCCTTCTTCCCTCAGTTCAGCTCTGAGCTCATCAAGCCTGATCCTACCAGTCAGTTCTTCCTATACTTGTTCATATTCCCAACAAAACTGTCCCTAGCACTTGCTCTGTGCCCAGGACTACAGGAAGCTCAGAGCCCACGTGGAAGAGGCAGCCCTGCACATCAAGCACAGTGAGAAGTTCGGTAAGGGCTCCGCGAGGGACAGACTCCCTGAGTGTCTGTGAGTGTGGGGAAGGGTGGAACTCGGGCTGGGTTCTGAAGGATGAATAGGAGATTATGAGGAAACAGCATGTGCAAGAAAAGGGTGGAACGTAAGGATGTGTGTGTGTGTGAAGGTTATGCCTGGGGATGGAGCACAGCCCACAGGCGCTTTGGGCTGGATCTGTATCGGACCCAGGTCCCCGCTTCTGCTGGGGGGCAGGGGGGCAGATGTGACTGAGGCCATCCCTTGCCCCGGGCGCCTGGGACAGCAGCGGGGCTGAGCCCTCTGAGAAGGCAGAGCTCTCGGCCCACAGGGTTGTTAAGCGAGTAGGATGTTAGTGTGGAGCTGCTGGGGACTGTGAGGGGAGAGGCCAAGATGGAGGATGACACCAGTGGGGAGAGACACAGAACCAGTGTGGAACTGGACCCTGGGAATGGATCCAGCTTTGCTTGTTTGTTTAAAGCAGTTTGAGCTGACGTTTTCTGTCCTAGGCAACCGCCAAGGCCTTTCAAGGCAACCTTGGCCAATACACCCCCCTCCCCAGAGCGATCCTAAGAGGCACAGCTCCTCGGCCTGTCCACTCTGCCACCTGCAGGACGTCTGCCCACAGCTGCTGAGGGCACGACGAGGGCCTCCTGTGTGGCCATGAGACACAGCAGGGGGCCCTGGGTGAGAAAAACAGTCAACTACCTCCCGGCCCCGTGTGCACGTGCTAGTGACGGGGCAGCACACGCAG